GCACGCACGCACGCACGCACGCAAGCCCAAGACCCGGGGCAGACTCAAGTAAACGCGTCTGGAGAGGGACGACCAATGTGCGTTGCACACCTGGTCGCCCATGGCAAGGTCGTTTCCAAACCTCCATCTTTACCGCCCGCCCAGAAAGGCCCGAGGTGTGTCATCCAGCGGCCTGCCGGATGTGTGCCTCGCTTTGCACCCGTCCCAGAGCGGGACGGCCTCAAATGCAGCAGGGACCTCGATACGTCAAGACATCCGAACAACTATGCTTTCAAACCTCAAGTGGCAAACCGATCGCGCAATTTGGTGCGATGTCCGGCACAACGGCCGGACCTTAAATAGCCACCAAAATACGCTACAAAGTTCTGCCGGGCTACCTCGCCGAACAGTGGGCAGATCTTCTTGCCGACTGCTTTCGCGTCGGCACAGGAAGCTTCTGGCAAACCCATCTGACCTCGAAGATCTCAGCATTTTGTGCCGAAGTGAGCTTGCGCACACGAGTCGCCGCGACTTCTGCAGGCGGCAGTAGAGGCCGATGTGAGAATGTCACTGCTTCAACCACTGTCATAACTCCCCACATCGTGGAAGCGAGACGAGGCGATGCAAACAAAGCTTTGGAAGCAAATGCAAGGCAGCTCCCGGAGGCAAAGGATAGCAAGAGCTCCATGCCCGAATTCGCAAATGCGGTCAAAGTTTCATCGCGAAAGAGAGGATGAGTTCCGTGCACAAAAAATGGCAACCACAAAAGGTTGCAAACGATAAGGGTACCCACATCTGCAAATGTAACAACATGCTTTCTTGTGGCTTCGACGGCACGGAAACAGGGTCTACCAAACCAGCTGCATTCAGTAGCCCCGTGGAGAGGGCCCCCTGGGTATTTACATGTACATGTCTTATGCATGTGCATGTGCATATCTATATATTGTATCATGGTATGCATGTGTATGCATGTATACAGAAACTGGTACATATACATATACATACACATACACATGCAAACAAACATACATATATGAATGCATACACACAGTGACATAATGCGTGCATTCACGGCGACACAGACATACCTAGTAGATACATAGACACGAACACAAACAAACTCTAACACACACAAAGAGGCAGAGACGTGTATGAATGTATGCTCAGCTCCAAATGTGTACACATGAATGCATATGTACATATGTATATACATCTATGTGCAAGGATCACATGTGTATAGCAATAGCAAGGCTCTAGTGGACAACACTGAAGCCTAAGTTCGAAAATTTTGAAACGGTAAACCCTAAACCCCTAAACCCTAAACCCTAAAGCGCAATTCAACTAATTCAACCCTTTAGCTGTGGCCGTAACTTGGCCGTAACGCCTGCAAACCATTGAGTCTCAACGGCCCAGGGACAAAAGGCCCAAACTGTGAGTGTAAAGAGTTTAGGGTTTAAGGTTTAGGGTGTAACTAGGGTTTAGGCTTTGGAACTTTAGGGTTTATAATGTTTAAAGGGCTTACACTCCAGGGCCTACGGTCGAGTCTGGGGCTATAGACTGGCCCTGAATCCTTTAGATGGCGCTGTATTCGTAGCCGAAGCTCTCGGAAGCACCAACCATCTGCACATACTCGATCTGCTTTGAGTCCTGCCGGTTCAGATTTAAGGGGGGGGGGGGGTAGGGTTTATAGGATTCAGGGGTTAGAGAAATGTTGACGAGAAGTTGCTGGGGTGAAGAGATCATGTTCTGGATTTGAGGCATCATGTCTTACGAGGGCAGAGATGCCCAGAAGATGCACTTTCAGTTCTTGTTATGATTGAACTTGTGCCATAGAAAAAACGGTTTGCCGGTCACCTGCGAAAACTGAACCATAAGTTTAATCGAGACCGCAAAACTCAGTAGGAGCTGACACAGGTCAACATGTGAAAACACGCAGCCCTAGAGCGTATGCCTGCCGATAAGCCACTCCGGCAATCAGCCTTTGTCTGATGGCCATCGCACACCCGGCCCACAGAGTGCAGGGCCAGTGTCTGAAGCTTAGAGACCAGGGCTAAGGCCACCCGGGACCTCGAAATCCCTAACCCAACTGTCTGGTTAACTCCCACTCTAGCGCCTGCGAAGCTCCAAAGAATTATCAAGTGATGCTCCACTCGAACACACCTCGGCACAACAGCCCTCAACCCTGTACGCCCTATGGACCCAAGATCCGGGAACCCGAAGCTCTGAAGGCTAAAACCTCAACCCTAAACCCTAAATCCCAAACCCCCAAAACCCTAAAAGCCACATCCAAAATCGATCCCGAATCCTTTCCAACGATGTTGTCCCTGGTCACCAGCACCTCTTCAGCATCCCTAGTCCTAAGTTCTACCCCCACCCCCAGACCCAAACCCAAACCACAGAAAATGTCTCTTAGACTATAACCTCACACTCCAAATTCCAAATCCTAGACCTGGAAGAAAATGCATAAAGTTGTGATTTCGTAAGAGGTTCATTTCGAAACAGGTCCCCCCAAAGCCCAGAGACCGAAGCCCTTCTTTTGGTTCTAGCTTCACCTAAACACTCAAATCAGTCCTCGGTCCGAGAGTTTTAAACCTAAAATGAGCTAGGACTAAGAACAGCACCATGAAAAGCTGCTAGGGTTTGGGCTTCGGGTTTCGGGTTTTAGGGTNNTAGGGTTTAGGGTTTAGTGCGGGTTTCGGGTTCACGACCCGAATTCCGAAACTGAAGCCACAGAGCAGCACTCCAGGAGAGATGACTTCCTGCACCGTCCCGGCGATCGAGCGTGTGATCGCCCCATACGGCTCGGAAATGTTGAACAAGCCCATGCTGGCCTCCAACGGATTCTGGGATGTAAGGCGGTTTAGGGTTTAGAGTTTAGNNGTTTAGGGTTTAGGGGTTATAGCTTTAGGGCTGCAGGTTTTGATGTTTCGCGATTCCGCTCAGCACTGAAGATTTCCGGCTTGGGGTGCTAACGCTCGATTCACGGCTTAGGGCTCCAGGATTTCCCACTGCTCAGTTCCTCAGCCCAAGACTTTACAAGAATAGGATCCTCATTTTGGTGGTCCAATCTATAACATCTTG